GGAGCTGAAACGCTTGCTGAAGGAGACGAGAAATCGAAAATGTGAGTTACTACATCGGTGGATTGTATTTCAAACAGTTACTTTTCTTCTGGTGTCTCCTCATCCCACCAAGTATGATACACAGCCACTTAAGGACTCCCAAGAAAGAGTGATGATAGCGTAAGTACAACAACGTTCTTATCATTTCACTTACACCTTCACCCACCCAAACTTAAACAAAGCCGGCATACAGTTCAAATAAATGAGGGCCTGTAAGACACCCTAAAATAGGGACACCCTGTTTTAAAGGGACACCGTTTGCTTCAGTCTTCATGCCCACTTCTCGCATGCATTGAATAAGGACACCTCGCTTTACCTTGCTGCTTCCCATTGGGTATAAATGAGAAGAGTTCCACCGCCGTGTTGGTTGTTGAGTGCAGAAGCAGAGGCAGCTGGACATGGAAAGAGGATATGGTAGGAGGAGTCCGAGGCGAGAGTATTGAGAGTACCTACAAGAAGAAGTATGCCTCCATCCCACCATTGGGATGATTTGAGTCGGGGCCCGGTTAACCCCTCCTCAGTCTAGCGTGGATGTACGTAAGTACAAGGTATGGGAGGGAGGAGGAGAAGCAAGGATTGTAAATTACAGAGAGAGAAGAAGAAAGCGTAACGTGATCGGGGAAGGTGCTCAAGGCATATATAATTCAACTTGTGTAGGAGCAGACTTTACACCAGGCTCATTTTTTTGGATGTTTCCATGCAAGCTTCAGTAAGGTCAAGGCATCAGGTAATATTCGTTCATTACAACATTGGCCCCTTCGTTGCACACCATTCATACATTATGTTGTTGTTTCACATACGGTTTCAAGTGTAAATCTTTTTTGCTTTGTTGTAGGATTGATGAGATGAGGAACCAGCCGAGGCGAGAGTCAAGCAGCAGCGCCTCTGCCCTGGAGGTCAAGTGGTCACTACACACACCCATGGTATGTATGACAACGACAAATCACTGTGATACAGCGCGACCCCAACCTATGGATGGTGTAAAGTGGCGTATCGGACGGAAAAGGAGCGGTCATCACGCTCATGAAGAAGTTATCCAGATGCAGTTTGGAGACAGGTAGGACGGCACCACCACTTCTGCTTTCTTTCTCGCCTCTCTCTCCGGAGCGAAGGAGAACAAGATTAGTAAGGCCTAACATCCCAGTAACAAAAGTTAGGGTGCCTACTTTAAGCAAAGATGAATACACACAGTGGGTCAAAGGCGAAGGAGAAAATGGCAAAAAAAAGAGACACCAAGACAAGCAAGAAAAAAAAAAAAGAAAAAAAAAGGAAAAGAAAAGAAGAAAGAGAAGGAGGAGAAGAAGAAGGTAAGAAAGAGGGAGGAGAAAGAGGAAGAAGAAAAGAAGAAGAAGAGAGAAGGGGGAAGGGAGAAGAAGAGAAGAAGGAGGAGTAAAGAGGAACAGAGGAAGCAAGAAGAAGAAGAGAAAGATGAAAAAAGAAAGCCAAAGGGAGAAAGAAGCTAGCTATATGGTTGCATTGTTAATACTATTGTATTCAGGGAGGACCCACCTTGAAATTAATGAGCACATTATCCTATTATACAACCACTTTTAATTTCCCAAAGGAAAAATTAAATTTACCACTGAAATATACGGACCACCTCCCTGCATTAGACACAAAGTCTCCGTCCCCCATTTGTGTCTCTGGCCGATACTATGCTTCCGGAAGAAGATCTCTCGTCTATCGTCAATTATCCACAGAAAATACACAGCCTCTACAGATCAAGAGCTGTGGTGGGCCAAGGAAGACGGCATCAAGGGCTACTTGTACATCGAAGCCGTCAAAATCAGAAAACGTGAAGGAAGCCATCGAGGGACATACGTAAAACCTGAGAATGGGGAAAAGTGGCAACAGTGATGGTGCCCATCCAGAGAGATGACCGACGTCTCAGGGTTTGTTTTTTAAGGACGACGCGCAATCAGAGGGGTTCGTGCGTGTCAGAATCAAACTGGGATCAATGTACCGGATGAACAGTGCACAGGTACATACATGTACTAGAGCGGTACATATGTACATACATACATGTACAGGTTACATGCAAGCTAGAGATTGGAAGTGGGTTGTGTATAGGGATTCGACTAAATTAGTGATGTGAGCCCGCTAGCGATTGTGACTAAGTGACAACACATACCATACACTTTTGCAACCACTTTTACAGTTCTCTCAAGCAACTTTTTTACAGAACAAGTTCCCGAGAGTAGTTAGCAAGTGCGCTTAAAATATACGTTAAGCACTGGAATTGCATATGTGTCATGAGAGTTGATTAGCGCTCTTTTAAAAATTTGCAATACGCCAAAACGCATTGTTAGTGCTGAATGCACAGGCGGCTTTAGGAACATTGTCGTAAATGGATAGACATCTGGTTTGCATGTATTGTAAACGGGCTCACTTGTCTAAGGTACAACATTCTCCAAGTGCCTCTACTATGACACACCAGGCCCATGCAAAACAGCCAAATGCCTTGGTTCAATACGCACCCGAACCACCAGATGTACTGATATCCACAACAGGTTGACTATGTGGACAAGTCCAGGAACCAGGTGGCTCTGAAAGATGCTGCCTCGCGTCTCGACTACTCACGCAAGAGAGGAGCACTGAAGCGAGGGTTACGAGGACGCCAGCTCGCAAACGCAAGAGGAGGAGGCAGGACCGCCGAGCCAGCTGTTCGGATCCAGGAGGCCATCAAGTGAGCTCTCTTTACTATAGATGACTCAACACGTCTACTTTTAGACTTGAGAGCGTGAAATATCACATGCTATTATGCAATAGTTCAGTAACGCAGCTAGCTCCGTGAACTCCGCGTGGCCCGCGACCAGAACGGGCTCTTCGCGCATGCGTACCCAACAGTGAGGACGTTCAGCACAACCAAAGGAAAATTGCTCAATGCGTCACCAGACCCTCTCCTCTCGTGCAGTGCGCGGTCGGCGGGCACGAGACATCTGTATCTATGATCTGCCAATGCTACACATAGTGTGGAAAAACTACGAGGTTTAAGAAGGCAAATGGCACATACAAAACAATCAAACTAGCACCCAGGGACAGAGTTACCCTAGGTGGGAACCCACGATACTCTACAGTCTAGGCGACACTGAGCTACCAGGCAACTCGAGCTCGGTTAGGGGTTCAACTTTTTCAAATCAATACAAGACGAGGCGCAAACTCACAACCACTTGCTGCTATGCACAGTTCTATAATATATCCAAACTCAGCATGTAATGTAAACGTAACGTCTCTACCGAGGATCTACAGTTCGTCAGTTATGGAGGAGACGTGACTAGAGGTGAGCCACGATGGCGACTTGTCGTCTCGAAGAAGGAAACCACTTGCCAGAAGACGGGTTCCTCTACATTAGAACTTGACATGTTGAGCACATCGTAAGTGGCATGCTAACATAATGCCTCTCTGGACTAATATCCTGATCATATATAATATGTAACGATGATATACAGTGGAACCCTGAACAAGAGACACTATGTGGCCAGCGATTTTGTCCCTTGTAGAGAGGGTGTCCCATCTCAGAGGTCAAATAATACACTAAAGTGTTGATTGGAAGCAAGTGCCTTTAAGAGAGGTGTCCCATCTCAGAGGTATAAAGCAGCTGGGGTTGAAGCATGTCCTTTATAGAGAGGTCGTCCCTATCTCGGATGAGTCAAATAATACACTAAAGGTATTAGCAGGTGGTTGAAGCAAGTGTCCTTTGTAGAGAGGTCGTCCCTATCTAGACGGTCCCTTATCGGAGGTTCCACTGTATATGTATGTACCATGGAAAGGTTTGACCATTGGTCGATTGAGCGCCCAAATACTAGTTGAAGTGTGAAATAATATGCAGTAGTAAACTTGTGCTTTCTGGAAAAAAATCTCAACATGTCTACACTAGTGTACGGGGGTTGTGTGTTATGTAATGTACATATGAACTCGACTAATCTGGAACCACGAGTACCAATCAAATAATCCGAACGCCAGTCCTGCCATAAAATATACAGCGCAATATGCCATTTTGACACCACACTGTGCTGTGTTTTATTGCCGCAATGGAACGAACTACGTACTCAGCTCTACATTGTCTCAGACACTTGAATAGATGAAATAAGGAAGAAAGGTTCCTCTAAGTGTTTTGAGATAGTGAAGTTGCTATAGCTTTAGTATTCAGTAACCGAATTTCAACACCACCCAGTCGTTTGTGTTCATGATTAGTGTCAGTCTCACTGTTGATTAGTGCAGAGAGTATCAGCAATCTCTCTCATGGTGTGTGCAGGTGTATGATGGGTGAAGCCAACTCTACAGGAACTCGAGAAATTTGAAGCCACAATTGACGATGTTGATTCTTGAGGTACGTGAATAATACAACACAGATACTCGATTGTACTTACCTTTTGCATGATATTGATTTGCCTGAGGTCTCGAGGCCTCTGGCTCTCACTCCACCTTTGTTTTACCCCTCTTCTTTCTCTCCCACTCCTTGTCTCGCCTGCCTCTCTTCGTCCCTGTTCTCCATCCACTCCCGGGTCTCTTATCATTTTCTTTCCTCCCTCCTCTCTCCCCTCCACCCCTCGTCTCCTCTCTTTCCTTCCCTCCACTCTCCCATTCCCCTCACCTAACTCTCTCGCTCTCCTGCATTGATCTTCCTTCTCTCTCACACATCCTATCCTCCTCTCTCCCTCCCTCTCCTCTCTCCCTCCCTCTCTCTCGCTCTGTCTCTCCCTCTCCTCCACCCCTCTCTCCTCTCTCCCTCCCTCTCCTCTCTCCCTCTCTCCCTCTCCCTTCCCTCCTCTCCTCACCCCTCCTTCCCTCCCACATCCTCTCCCCTCCCTCTCTCCCTCTCCCTCCCTCCCTCTCCTCCACCTCTCCCTCTCTCCCTCCCTTCCTCCACCCCTCCCTCTCCTCCCTCCTCCCCCTCCCTCTCCCTCCAGTTGGGGGTACGGGGTCGCGGGATGCGGCGGCCCCGGCCCTCCAGCCAGGAGACGTGGTGGAGGTTGTGGAGGGAGATCTCAAGAACCTGACGGGCAGAGTGGTGTCTCTGGAGGGAGACAGCATCAGCGTCAAGCCGCACCACAAGGACCTCCAGGTTCGCCAGTCATCTATCTAGGAGGAGGGGGTTGCCATTGGCCTTTGTTACGGATTTTATTACGAGGGGGGAGGACTAAATGAAAAAGAGGGGACAGAGCCCTTTCAAGTGTGAATGAAAAGCACTGAAGTGCAAACCCTCGGCGCACAGTGACGCGCACGCGTAAGTAAACGCATGCGCCGTACCACTAATTGATGGGCTGGGTTTGGGTTTAGTTTTAGCTGTTACTCGTGGTCTCTTGCCAGCTCGCGCAGAGTCTGACGCGGGCTAACTACACTACTAGATAGCATGCAAGAGGCGATACACGCCCCGCGTTGCATCTTCTGGTGCCTCCGAGGTACACGAATTGATCAGACCGTGGTAAGCCATCCCGTCCGTTGTGTATTTGCATATTGGCTTTTTCGCGCTGTAGCTCTGCAACGGAGCATTTTCAGAGAAAACCCCATATATTTTCTGACCTTCATTGCCTGTTCAGTAGGTGGTATCCTTTGTGAGACGAACGAACACTCGAGAAGTGAGATGACGAGTAACAGACAGACAGACACACAAACCCAACTACCGTAACCCTCGCTGCGCATGCGCGCCGAGGGTTAATTAATGAACCCTTGGACGTGATGACTAAAGTGTAACATTTCCCAGTTTTAATCTCTTTGGTTTGTAATGCTGTGGAAAAGTGTTAACCCACATGATTAACCCTCGGCACGCATGCGCGAGGGTTACTGCAGTTGTCTTGTGTGTCTGTCTGTCTGTTGTGTGTATCTGTTACCGCTCTAGTGCTTCAGCGTCCGTTTATATCCGCAAGCAACGATTACACACGGGTTCTCGTAGGCTTTTCTTGGATTTGACTCGAGGATTTTCGAAAAAAAACTTCCATCCAAAGTTATGCGTGAGAAAAGGCCAATATGCAAATGAGTTACAGCTCACCGCGAGCGTTTGTGCACACTTTCGGGACCAACGAATGCAGCAGCTACTCGAATGACAACTGGTCGTGGAATGTTGCTTCAGACGCTAGCTACTGCTGCAAGCGGCAAAGACAAGCTATGCTAGATGAGCCACCGACGGTAGGTCAAAGCAAGACGGCCTGCGTGTAAGCGCTCCGCTCAATGTAAGCGCCAACGTAAAGCCAATATGCATAATCGCACTGGGCTTACCGCGACCTGATCTGCTCGCCCTGTGTATATACCTCGGGGGCTCACAACGAATGGCATGCATCGACTCCCGCATGCTATCTACTAGCCCGTGTCATACTCTCCGCGAGCTACTAGCGGGAGACCAGGAGTAAAAATAGCCCAGCCCATCAATTAGCAGTATCGCGCATGCGCAGTTCACCGAGGGTTTGCACTTTCATTTCAATGTTGGTTTGAAAAAGTGGAGAGAAAACAGTTGCTCTATAATGTGTTGTGTTATACAGAGAACTATGGCATTCCTCATGTGACAGGTTTTGTTTTGAAAATGTGACAGATGTATATAGTCACCTTTCTGCAAAGAGAGAGTACAATGTGCAGAGCCTTTTGAGGAAACAGCACCATGTACACCAGTCTCAGTAGCACAACACGTAACTCTTCAATCTTGACTGCAATGAATACGTTCACATATAAAAGCATGCTGTTGAAGTTGCCGAACGGCACATATTGATAGCTCCTCAAAGTTTCTGTCATATAACATTGCAAACCGCAGCAGTCAACAAGCCTTCGTCCCTCGTCAGGATGTTTTCCCTGCGAGGCTCTCGTCAACTCAGGCCGGCTGCCTTCACTATGACTAACCTATACGTGGCAACACAACGTCTCAACCGTCCGATGCAAACCTCCCCGAGGCCACCCCCCAAAGGCTAACCTCCCGAAGGCCAATGATCAATAATGCATGGTGTTGTGGAAGCACACCGCCGTGTTGGGTTGCAGTTGGCATGGAAAGAGTACAAAACCAACGTTGGCCGGGGCCCAAACGACCTCAAACAGAAGATCATCAAGTCAAAGCCTACCCAGCGAAGAAACCCTCTCTGTACATCACAAGGGTGGCCTGACAACATCATGAAACATTTGCGCCTCCAAGGAATAGCAGAAGACGGTGATGGTTTGTGGCCCGCGCGGAAGTGGAAAGACGGCAGCAGTCAGGGAGACTCTGGAAGGCCAAAAGGGGGTCGTGATTGCAACACTTGCCGACGAGAGTCAAAAGCTTGCTCGTGCCATCACCGAGTCTTTGGGGCTACGCACAAACAAGGAAGTGGACCACACCGAGGTTGTGGTGAATGCACTGAAGGAAATCCGCAGGGAGCCGGGGTATGTAGGCTTGGAGCACCCCCCTGTTCTTGTAGTTTCTGAGAATGAATCGACAGATTCTTGTATGAGATCTCAGCAGATTATATATTTTTTGTTTACTACATACATGCCTAGACACTATATATTTGAATCAACAGATTCTTGTATGAGATCTCAGCAGATTATATTTTGTGTACTATTTTGTTTACTACATGCCTATATATTTTTTACGAGAATGAATCGAGAGGTTCTCTGCAGCTTTGTATGAGATCTCACACTAGTCTGGAAAGGGTGCAAGCCCTTTGCACAAGGAATACATACGCATAATGATACGCCAGGCCACGCCCCAGAGCATGTTAATTGGATGCATGCTGATTCGTACAGATTGTACAATGCAGTGCTAAGCTAGTCTCATGCTCACACCCCACCCAGAAGGGAGAACTCCCCTTACATTGTATTAGTACCCTCTCTCGCACATGTGTTTTTACACGTTCGCTTGTTTTTCGGAAGGGTCCTCAGGACTGCAGGCTTTGTTTCCTGTTGAACCTACTTGGGAGCAGTTTCTGAACAATGAGCACTGCTGCAAACGGTAGTGTTTGTAGTCCCTTGAATCAAAAAGCGAAAATCATTCAAACCACAAAATGACACAAGGCCAACACACAGACATGCACAGTGCATAAGTAATGTAGGTGGTATAGGTTAGGTGATAAGCATACAGAAGGGATATATGTAATACAGTACACGAGTTATACACGTACAGAATATACCACAAACACCACACATGGCTTCATATTCAAATCCATAAAAAATATCTCCATGTAGATAATACAAACAAAATAGTTATGTTGCTTGGGGCTGCAGGCTATCAGTCGGCAAATTGCTGTCTTGGATTAGCGACCTGAGTTTTATTCTGCATGATGCGATCACTGCAGAACACTCTGTGAACTGTTGGAAGAGATAGTCAAAGGAAACCGAAATGGACTCCACTGAATGGTTGTCCGTCCTGTAGTACTCGACATCATCTGCTGCTCTCTTGAATGTGTCGAGCTTTGCCCCAACAATGGAGAGGTGGGTTAGTGTTGTGACACTAGCACTTGACAATGACTTGAAGGTCTTTGCAAGTTCAGCAAATTTCTTCCCTGTGGCTTTGTAGCCGGATGCGAAACAATGAGTAGCTATGGCAGCCCCTGTTCCAACAGTTAGTCCAACTGTTCCTGAAGCTGCTGCTGTAACAATAAGACCAACTACTGTACCAACACCAAGTGTCAATAACCCAGCAAAAGCTGAAATAACAATCCCAGTGGCAGCCACACTGCTCGCTGCTCCAGTACCCAAGACTGCAGCTGTTGCCGTGCCACCAACAACCCTAGAGGTTGTCTTATTAGTCTTTGCTTACGCCGATTTTTTCAAACATTCTGTAGCAGCATCTTGGCAGCTTTCTCTGGCGCTGCTGCAGACCTTCTCGAAACTTTTGTTGCTTTGTTGTGCCTGGGATGTGGAACGCAGTAGGACAGAGAGGTACTCACGGAGAGGTTCAAAGTTCCTCTGCTGCAGAGCTTCCCTCACAGTTGCCCTTCGCGCCTCATCCTTCCCATAGGACGAAAGCTTGTCAATGCTGTCGATGAGACTGATGGCATGAGTGAGAGTTTGCAGGTCATTGTTCTCGATAGTGGCCAAGACTTTTTCACTAAAACTTATCTCTTTTAATTTTAAAGCGCTAATCTTCTCTCTGAGGTCAAACAGCAGTTGGACAATGGTTTTTAGCGAGTTAACCGTGTCTGCAAGGCTCGTATCGATGTTTAGTGGAATATTCATCTCTTTAGAACGCTGGCACTATCACTTGATCTGCTCTGAAATTCAGGCTTATATAGCAACCCACCTCTAGGGGGATATTTCCCTCTTTTGCCCAGGGAGTGAATACTAGGCTAGAAAAATGAATAGTGTTATCACCTTTTGCATAAGATTTCACTGTATATATTGTGGAGTTACAGAGTGATATAGATCGTAGAATTCACTCCAGATTGTGGAAGCCTCCCTCTCTTCCTCTTTTTGACTCAGTGACTCAGTTCTCTCTTCCTCTCCTCCTCTGTAGGCTTGTTTCTGCTATTTGTACAAAACATACTTTTGTGCCAGATGATCAATTCGTAAACCCATTGCGCATGCCAAGGTCAACTCACAATGCAACAAGGGGTCATGTCGAGTAGTGTGCCCTAAATATACACGTGACCCGTTCAGAGGCAACCATTGGTTTTACACGACTAACAAGGAAGTGACATCTGGTAACTAGACCCAAAGTGGGCTGACCAATGGTGATGTAATGTAAGTGGGTGTAACCAATGAGTGCTTACATAGATGAAAAGCACTTAACACCTCATTCACCGGATGGTCACATCCTAACATCAACTTAGACTACTACATTATACTGTATTATACTACTCCAGGTTGTATTATCGCGATATGCGTACGTACGTGTCGGTCACACTTAAGAATGTCAATTAGTCACGCTTTAGGAATGTCAACTTCTGTCATTCATAGGAAGTCTAGCTTCCACCGTGCGTGCAGATTCGTAGGAAGTCTGGCTTCGCGCGCAGTCAGTAGAGCGTGCGCATGAGCGGCCTCAGTCGGACTGTTTACGCATTGGCTGGCAGGCGCAAGGCAAAATATGCGCATGCGCATTCCTAGTAAGACTGTTATTATTGGCACCAATAATACTCATTATTACCTTGTCAAAACATCACTCCTGTATAGGAATGTGCTGTGTTGAGCCCCTCCCATAGTGAATCTATTAAACACCTCATTCACCAGATGGTCACATTAACTTAGACTGCATTATACTGTATTATAAGACTGTTATTAACCCTCGGTGCGCACATGCGCAGCAAGGGTTACAGTAGTCGTTCTGTCTGTCTGTCCGTCTGTTACCACGATTTCTGCCACCACGCGCAACAAACAGGTAAAATAGCGACACCAACGGGTTCAGCGCTACACTGGCTTTATTTTCAAATAGGCGATCTTCGTAAAGTGCCGCGTTCAGAAGCTATGGCATGAAAACCAAGTGAACAAGCCAATATGCTAATTAGCACTGGGCTTGCTCTGTGTACCTTGGAGGCACAAGACGCCACAACGAAGGGCGTGTATCGACTCCCGCATACTATCTACTACTGTAGCTAGCCCGTGTCAGACTCTCCGCGAGCTACTAGCGGGAGATCACGAGTAAACGCATATAGGCCCAGCCCATCAATTAGCGGTACCACGCATGCCCAGTTTGCCGAGGGTTTGCACTTTAGTGCTTTTCATTGCATGCTGAAGGGAGTAAGCTGGTTTTCCATAAACTGCTGTTGTTACTCTATGTGTGTGTGTATGTGTGTATGTGTGTGTGTGTGCAGGACCTGCTGGCGTTCCAGGCCAGGGAGCTGCGGAAGGCATTCAAGGAGGGAGATCACGTGAAGGTGGTTGCAGGTCGCTACGAGGGAGAGACGGGGCTGGTTGTCCGGATCGAGCACAACCTCGCCATCCTGTTCTCAGACCTCACCATGCACGAGGTACAACATACACGTACTACCGTATCATGCTGCAACATGTGTATAAATGTGGATAGTGCAACTTTTTTTTGTCGCATCATGGGACTGTATAAGTTGCATGAGGTACATGTATGTACAGATGTATAAGCAAGTCAGTTGCATTGTAGGTGTAAGTTTACAGGTCTGCCGTATGGAATATTTTACATTGACCCTCAAGGCCACCATACATACATAACATGTGCAGGTTTCACTAGAAAAAGTCATGAAAAACATGTTTATAGCATACTAGCTAAAAGAATAATATCAGAGGAAAAGAAAGAACCTCCCCCACCCAAGCACACATGTTACTTCAATGTATAGGTATGATACGATAGTCCATGAATGAAAATGAAAGTGTTGTCTATTGCATAATATTGCATAGTCCATCATATCAGTACATTGAACTTTTGCTAGACTTTTGTCGCACACAACAAAAGTTGCTTGTTGCTGTACATGATGTATGTACGTACGTACTTTATGTGCAGCTGAAAGTGAGGCCACAGGACCTGCAGTTGTGTCTGGAGACCAGCAGTGGTGTTGATGCCTCTGGCCAGTACCAACTGGGAGACATGGTCCAACTGGAGTGAGTGAGGGAGGGAGGGAGGGAGGCGTGGTCAAACTGGAGTGAGGGAGGGAGGGCGGGAGGGAGGCATGGTCCAACTGGAGTGAGTTGTAACTTCAAATGTATTGGTATCAGAAGTGCGTGCAACATGTTGCATGATGACCATCATACCCATACATTTGAAGTTGCATGCAACTTTTGTCTCAAGCAACAATGTTGCATTGTGTAAGGAGAGGAGGCATTGTCCAGGTAGAGTGAGTTTTAGAGAGGGGGGAGGTAAGGGTGGGGAGGGAGGCGAGGAGGGAGGGGAAGGAGGAAGCACACCTTTAGTGAGAGGGAGGGAACATAATGGAGGGAGCCAGCAAGCTTTCAGAAGGAGTGTACAAGTAAAGAAGTAGGAATGAAGAGAGAGAGAAGGGGGGGGGGTTGGGAAATAAGTGACTGTTGTAGTATGTCTTGCATCCATCAGCCCACAGACGGTAGGTGTGATAGTGAGGCTGGAGAAGGAAGCGTTCAAAGTCCTCACTCAACACGGGAAGGAGGTGAACGCCAAACCACACGCCCTGCAGCTCCGCAAGTCCAGAGGAGTTGCTTTAGACAGTCGCCAGGTGAAGATTGTAGTAGAGGCACTTAGCCCCCTGTTTCCCACTTACAATTTAGAGATAAATTTTATGCCCTCCCCCAATACACACACACACACACACACACACAAACTCTTACTTTGGCCTATGAATATGTTTCTGACCTCTTTTTGACAGAATGAGATTACGTCACGTGATGTGGTCAAAGTTATTCAGGGACCGCACATTGTAAGTCTTATTGTACGTGATTGAGGCTTTTTTCTATCGTGTATGTATATACACCCACTCTTTCCTGTTCCTATTGACCTCCTTCCTCTCCCTCCTTCACAGCACAAGCAGGGAGAGATAAAGCATGTGTTCAGAGGAAACGTATTCCTCATAGTCAGAGATCAGGTGGAGAACGGAGGGATCGTGGTGGCCAAGGCCAAGCACGTGGAGCTGGCTGGAGGCACCAGCCATGCCGTGAGTTGTCTGACTCTCTCCAGGGCTTTTTCCTAATTGTATGGGGGCACAAGTTAACCCAGAAAGTGGGTAGTTGGAGCTGGCTGGAGGCACCAGCCATGCCATGAGTTGTCTGACTCTCTCCAGGGCTTTTTCCTAATTGTATGGGGGCACAAGTTAACCCAGAAAGTGGGTAGTTGGAGCTGGCTGGAGGCACCAGCCATGCCATGAGTTGTCCCTGACTCTCTCCAGGGCTTTTTCCTAATTGGTTATTTGTATGGGGGCACAAGTTAACCCAGAAAGTGGCTAGTTACTGTCACTTTGGAGCTGGCTGGAGGCACCAGCCATGCCGTATACTATTTGGGCACAAGTTGACCCAGGCAGTAGCTGGTTACTCTCACCTTGGGTCCTTGTTTACAGGGACAAATTGCATAACTGTTGTCTCTCACTCACACTAGCTAGCTCTGAGCTTTGCCAATATGAAGATTACGTGAACATCAAACCCAAGAATAGCGTACACACAGGCATTTTGGTTATTCTAACGAGAAATTACTGCATGCTACATGCGTTGATCAATGGTTCTCATCTTTGTTTCAGGCGTCTTCCATCAGTACTGGGTTTATGCCTCAGAGTCCACGGCTCTCCAGTCCAGCTCCTCACAGAGGACCAGGTACTGTATCAATATCATCTTCTGCTATTACTACCGTACTTGTTGCATCTTCTGCTACTACCTGTACTTGTTGCATCTTCTGCCACTACTACCATACTTGTTGCATCTTCTGCCACTACTACCGTACTTGTTACATCTTCTGCCACTACTACCGATACTTGTTGCATCTTCTGCCACTACTACCATACTATGTTGCATCTCTGGTCTGCCACGACGACCGGACGGTGCAACTCTGCGCGACTCCTACTTGTTGCGACGACGACCAGAACTGGTGCATCTCTGACTACCAGCTACCATACGTGGCATCTGCGGCGACCGACGAACCATACGCAGCGGCTGCCACGACTAACCATACGCGTCTGCGATGCCACTACGACCAGACGCAAATCCGCGGCTGGCACTACGACTACCATAGCGGTGCAGCAAGTCGGCTAGGCCACGACGACACTCACAGACGCAGCGGCGCCACGACGAACCAGACGTGGCCGCGTCGAGGGCCACACTAACCAGACGAGGGGTGCAGCGGCCTGCGGGCCACGTACGACCAGACGGGTTGCCATCTGCTGCCACTACGACCAGACGCAGCGCGGGGCAGACTCACGACCACGGAGGGTGCAAGCGCGGGCAAGGCGGCGGCCCGATACTACCAACTGGGAATTCAAGGCAGCGTGGCTGCCACGACGACCAGACTGGCCGCGGCGGCCACGACGACCGGGACGAGCAGATCGGCTGCCACTCGACCGGACTGCATCTTCGGCCACTAGACTCACCGGACGCATCTAGCGGCGACGACTAGAACCAGACGAGCGGAGCGGGCGTGCCACGACGACCAGAGCGCAGCTGCGGCCACGAACGAGCATACGCATGCGTCGGCCGACGTCGACGGCGACGACACGGAGAGGGCTGGCCCAGGCAGCAACGAGTGCAGAGTTTGGGTTACGTCACGTGTGCATTTAGAAATCACGTATGTGGAAAACTACAGTAGGGCGGCTACGTTGGATGCACATTACGTGAATAGAAGTACGTACCCAATTCAAGACCAGTATGCAAATCTACTACAGCTATGTACAGCATTGTCGTTGGGCCTTGAGACTACTGAACTAAACACTACTAAGAACATGTCGGTTTTAGAGAATTGGAGCCTCTGTAACTTCAGTAGCGTACTACTTTACTTAAGAGAACTATCCACTGTAGGTGGTGGTGGAGGAGGAGAGAGGAGAGAGAGGAGCGGGAGGGAAGAGGAGGAGGGACACCTCCATCATCGGCATACTGTGAGGATAGTGATGGGACCTTACAGGGTAAACGTCGGTATCGTCAGGACGACAGACGAGTCCACGGCGCGCGTGGAGCTGCACACCAGCTGCAACACATCTCCGTTGACCGTCTCGACTGGACAGAGTGTACGTGAGTCTACTGTCCTCCTCTTTCATATTTGGGAAGTGAGATGGTCAATCTTCAACTTGTTTTGAGACCTTTTTGTTTCTCCGATCACTGTTCATGCATCCATCATACACATGAACATACAGTATGCACAATACTATATCACAGTCAGACTATATAAAATAAAACTGTCATGTGTGTGTACTCGCCCACCTTATTTGCCCCATTCAGTGGCCTTTATATAGTGTCTTTGAGAAGATCTAAGAAATGTGTATCACGAGTCTAATTGCATGGATATGTGGGGGAGTGGGTTATATAGAGAATGTTTTCTCTCAAAAAGTAAAACAGTCCTCATTACGTTACTTACTCCCCCCCCCCCCCCCCCCCCCCCCTTACCCACACACACCTCCAGGGTTAGGACAGTGGTTGAAATGACATCGACCTGGGGCCGTACACCAGCGTTTTGGTTTCCCAGACTTCCCTGGTGGGCGGCATGACTCCATCCACGGCAGTATGACCCCCATCAACGGAGGACCTGGGGGGGAAGGACACGCGATGTCACGGCTTCTCTTACAACAACCCATGGCACCGGAGATGGTTAGTTATGCAATCAATAATGCACATTAGCTAGGGATTTTGTTTGCATGAAATCACTGGCACATTAGCTAGGGATTTGGTTGCAATGAAAACTCAATGGCACATTAGCTAGGGATTTGGTTACTTGAAATCATGGCACATTACCTAGTGGATTTTGGTTGCATGAAATCATGTGGCACATTACCTATGGATTTGGTTTGCATGAATCAATGGCCATTACCTAGGGATTGGTTGCATGACATCAATGGCACATTAGGCTATGGATTTGGTTGCATTAACAAGTCAATGGCAACATTACCTAGGATTTGGTTTGCATGAAATCAATGGCACCCTTAGTCTAGGGTTTGGTTGCAATGAAATCAATGGCACAATTAGCTTAGGGATTTGGTTGCATGCAATCAATGGCCATTTACGGGATTTGGGTTGCATGAAATCAATGCACTTAGCTAGGGATTTGGGTTGCATGAAATCAATGGCCCATTAGCTAGGGATTTTTGGTTGCA